CCCCAAAACCCCAAAACCCCAAAACCCCTAAATGCAATTATGTTTAAAATAAATCGAAAATCAACTTTAGGTTTAAATAATATCAGATAAAAATCTTTAGTCTGAGTGCCCATGGACACAATTAGATTAAAGTCTCTATTTAATTTATTAGTAAGATCTCTGGGTGAAACTATAGCTACCTACAACTTGCAAGCGACTTCACACTCAATCCTTCTTAAATTCTTTCATCCATCAATTTACATTTTTATTTGAAGTTTGCTCTGACTAAGAGGTTAATGGCTAAGTTTTTTTGTTTTCAGCATCTGTGTAAGGGTCCAAAACTCTCGTGACGCCTACTCCTGCTTTAACCTACACCTTTGGCTCCTACTACTACTGCTTCTTTATTTATTACTTCTTATCCATGTTTTGCAGCTTTTCATCAACATCAACTTCTTTCAAAGAGCCTTCAATATAAGTGGGACCTGATTTCCTAACTTGAGTGTGTTTCTTATGTAATCTCTAGTCTAAGATCTCTTACTGTTTAGCATTTTCCTCCTTTTAAAACAATATCTATTATTCTAAAGAGTCCATCATTTCCAATGCATTCATTCTCAATAATATCTTTTCAGCGTCAAACTGATTATTTTACTTCAGAAATTGCTCTAGACTTGATTTTGAGTCGATCTGAGAGGCCTTAATTTTGTATATTGTTGCTTGCGAAAGATCTATGATTTTAGTTGCAAATGCATTGCATAATATCTCAAAATTAGCGTAAATAGGTTTTTTGGGGATGGCTAATAAGTTACGCTAAGACATATAGTATTTTAGAAAGAAATAGTTCAGGTCTTACTGCTCATTCACATTAAATGGATATTCCTCTGGGAAGAGAGTTCCAACAAGATTACGATATTCATCTCCTTAAGGAGGATTGGCAAGTTAAGCTACTCCTAATGTTACATCGAGATTATCCTATCTTAATCTTCTCAGAATTTTATTCTGATAGATAAATACGAGTTCAGTGCCAGTAGGGTCTAGGAGAATCTACTAAACCATATGGTTTGTTCTTCTGGAATACTTGATCATGCGATAAAATGTTATACCGAAAAAGATGACCGTGAAGGGCATTACCACAGGGTATGATGAATATAATGGGTTCTTCTTAAGATAATATGCAAAAATTGCCAATGGAATCAAGAATCTCAAGTATAATCCAAACAGTCTCAACCAGGTAGTTTTGTGATAGTAAAGCAGGTAATAGCCATTTTCAAATTGGAAGACGGGAACTTCATGCGCAGAATATATATTCTCATTCTTCTATTTCTGTGGCTTACTCATCCCGCTGCTTGGATTTTTGGGCTTTGTGCTAAATTTTCTACGCATACTCTGCATAAATAGTCTGGATTGAGCCATTCCCTGTCCTGAAATAGATCGCTAAGCACTAGTTCCAAGTGATTTAGTAAAAGAAATGAAATGAGCCGCCGTGGAATATTAGAAGCCATAATTTTTTAATATTGAGGCTAGCATTTTAATTTTAATATTAATATTATCAATTTTAAATAACAGATCAAATCGCTCTAAGCGGGGTTTTGGGGTTTTGGGGGTTTTGGGGTTTTGGGG